TGCAGAAATCTCCTGTTCTCCGCGGGGAAGTTTGGTACGTAGTTATCACCGATAACGAGCCAGTGATTTATTATTACCCCCAAACTGACATCAAACGTCAATCCCATACGAGTCACGCAGACATTTTTAGGATCTGCTGTAAAATATTGTTCGTAAATGACTGGATTTCTTACTGAAAAATCAAGAATTTTTATGTTTCACATATTGCTTTGAATATCATGCCAAAAGTTCCTTAGACAATATGTTTATATCAATTTCTGTATCTTCCAACATTATCTAATTAATTCTAAAGTATTTGAATAGGTCCTTGAATTTTATTTTTTTTTCTTTAATAATGCAATTTTCACATGTTGTAAAATCATTTTACTTTTTCATTAAAAAAAAAGACACGTTATTTACTTGTTTTTAATTTTAAATTAAATAATAGCTACGGTCAATATCCTCTGTACATATATTTAATTTTCTAATTATTTAATGAAAAAGGGCAACAATTTCAATGGTAAAAAGTATATTTACCGCCATTTTTTACATACTGCCTTTTCATGTCATGAAGTTTATGGTTTTCTAAACTTGCACATTTTAGCAATGAAAAGCTAATGAATGTTTCTTCGCGAACAGAATATGAATGGCTACCTGAAAAATAAAATTAGTGTTGACAGGAACATAAACTTTATCATGTGATTTTATCTTCACTATCAGTTTCGTTTATCCTGTATATAATTTGTAGTTCATAAAATGGGGTCGAATTTTTATTTAGGAGAAGGGAGTTGTATAAATTTTACTTAGGTGAATAAAAAAACTACTACCTAATAATTATATGATAAATTTTTTTTTAAAAAAGGTTCACGGAGTGAGAAAACATTTCTTATGTGTTGTACTGTATAACTGTATCTGTCCCAATTTTATATATCTTTCAAATGAGGCAAAATTTGTTTGGTTATTTACTAATGAAAATTTGTCTATACTTAAATATTTAGGGAGCTATATTATTACATGTCTAGATGTTAGACGAAATGTTGATTAATGTATGTAATAACAATGATAATTGTAATGATTTTATGGTTCTGATCCTGCCTGGATTTAAATGTATGTGATTTTTTTTATAGAATGAAGATAATAACATCTGTCTGAACTTTTCAATGTTTCATTTTAATATATAAAAATGTTTTTCTGTTACAAATCATGACGTATTGTTTTATGTGTACATGTTATGTTGCCCGTCAAGGGCCCTTGATTGGAATAATAAATATTCTTTATTCTGTTGTCCTAGATTATGACATTATGATATGCATTTTATCGAAAGATCAAATCGTGTCTACCTTGATCAATAAACTATAGTAACTCAGACCAAACTTATTAGAATGCTCCCCTTTTGCTTTGTAATTCGGAAGGGTCAACATCATACTCTGCTTCGCATGAAGCTTCTGTTGCAGTTTACTGTAATCAAAGTCAGTAATTTGTAATATATAATAATAGTGTGAGAAATAAACATATTCAGATATAATGTCCCAAAAAAACTAAATTTAAACTCCCCTGGCGTTTACTTTCAGAGACAGGCTCTTGCAATGAAAGTCTTAATTTACAGGGTTTGGTACAAGTTCTGGAATAACGGAGTTCTACAGGTTAACCCTAAAGGACACGTAAATAGAATAATGGTCACTTTTTGTCTACCTCCGACTGGCAGTAAAACCCTTGCCAAAGTGTGGCGTCATGCTCTCTGCACATTAAAAACCCTTGCAACAACTCTTAGGGGGATCCATAGGTGGCCTGCTGCATCCAAAATACCGTCATGTTCCAGTGGCATCCTAAACTCCTCGCCCTCCATCCCTATCGACCCCATGTAACAGGACATACCTATTGTATTAATTGTTAGTTTGTTCTCGTCCTAAAAAAATTCATGACATATTTGACTCTGGACGTTTTAGCAAACAACTATCAATCAATAATTTCTGCGGTTTTAAACTTTATAGCTGTTATTCACTTGCGAAACTTTTTGAGCTATTTAAGAGTCGCCAAAAACTCAAAACCATACAAGTAAGAGAGAGCTCTGGAATGATTAGTGACTGCTCAACTTCAAATGCTAGACAATTTCCAAAATTACTTAAACAATGATCCTAAGTTGTATAAATTTTGATCATAAAATGACGAGTTTGTCTAACAGTTCAATAATAGAAGTCATTGTACAGAACCGACTAACCTTTCACTTTCTGTGGTTTACCAAAACATGTTAATAAACTTTCAGTGGGGCCCAAATTGAGTGGATCGGGGTAAAACACACGGCAGCAAAGTCAATCTAGAATTAATGTGATTTATTGTTAAAACATAAATGGTTGAGAATGCATGAAGGAAGTAAAACTGATGCGGAAACCATGTTTGATGTGTCTGATGAATGAATTGTATGAAAATTGTTTGGAATATCAATCAAGAAAAAACACTACAAGGTTTATCACTTTTTATGTATCGATTGTTTAAACCACAGGGGTAATCGACACATGCTGTGATATTTGAAAATTTCTTTTTTATATTATGTCTTATGAAAAAGAACCAGATAAATCATAGTATGACAGTCCAGTGGCGGATCCGGGGGTTGGAACCCCCCTTTTTTTACGATTAATGCTTTTGAATGGGGACATATTGTTGGACCCCCCCCCCCCCCCCTTTGTCCTGGGTTGGAACCCCCACTCTTAAAAATGGCTGTATACGCCCTGCAGTCTTTGTTTAATTTGGTACTAATGTGTCGATTTAGAACTTGACATATAGTTTACACCCTAGTTTACTTGACATATAGTTTACACCCTAGTTTACTTGACATATAGTTGACACCCTAGTTTATTATAACAGACTTTTAGTTGATGTCTTTTCGATATTATTGGGTTGTTGGAATGTCTCATTGTATGATATATTCTTAATGTTTATTTCACATAGACCTGCATATGCATGAAATATCTGTCAATGGACGTGAATCACATACCAAATCGATAAATTGAAAACTTAAACGGTTTGATTATTACTTATTTTGGTGAATTTTCTCCCCAATAGTACAAACAATTGCCTTTTTTATTCATAAATTTATCAAGATACATTTTCAAGAACCAAAATTGCACCAACCCAAATTAGTTTTTATGGAACTGTTCATATTTACTGTCAGATTAAAAATCTTGAGTTTACAAAGAAAGGTTAATGACCATGGGGCGCAGAAAGCTATATTTATGATATGCATTTAACATGAAATTCAAAGGTTCTACGTTAATGTAATTTGAATTTTACAATAATGGTAATAAAAAAAAAAGTTTTATATTAAAATCATGTAAGTAATTGTTAAAAGTTGTTATAGCTGCGGAGGGCAGATAAATAGTATGATTATTTTTATAAGCTATAAGAAACTTTTGATAATTACTATATAAAAATACATATGAATTTTTCTTTGACAAAACTGAAAAAAAAATAGCACTTATCGAACCTAAATGGTTAAAAAAAACTTTGAAATGTGTGTACATGCTGCTTCGAACTACCTTCCCATAAGTTCTTAGGATGGTTGTAAAGTGTAATGGACAATAGAAATTGACCTCAGTCTTTTTATAAAACTTACACATCATCAATATTTGCTGAAAGAACGGTTGACACAGAGTAAAATAGTAGCTGGAACAGTGTGTCAAGCATGGCCTTGATAGTTTGTATATAACTTTCTGTGGTAAATCGTGGATGAAAAGCTAATAGTTACATAACGCGAGCATAGTTGTTTGTTTAATATGGATCAACAATGCAGGGAATGTAGTCTGATTTAGGCGTCATCATATTTATGACGATCACGCACCCGGTTTTCTCGTCAAAAATGAATTAGGAACATTTCGTATTGACGGACAAGGCGCGGGAAACATGGTGGTCTGTCGTAAATGAAAATATCTACAAACAGAAAAACTGTCAAAATCTATCGGTAGCTATAGATGATATTTTCACGTTTGTAGTGACATCATATTCCCACTCTGACTGCAAAAGCGGTGAAAATGGATCTTGCAACCATCCATGACACGTTTACCCAACCATACGATAACATCCGTCAATCCAGAATACCACACATTTAGATGCACTGTCGTCTGCAAATCTACGTTTTTGCATATATCCATATGTATTTCATCAATTGGCATGATTTATTGCTAGTTTTTTTTTACTGCATTTTGTTTGAAAGTAAAAGATTTGAAAGGCTAAGCTAAAAAGCGCCGAAAAGAGATGATATATATACAATAGATTTTTACATTTGATAATAGCATTTTAAGCTTTAAATGCAATGAATTAAAAGGTTTTTAAGATGATAATTTAGTATGTATATACGCTTTGAGATGATTTAAAGACCAGAGAAATCCTCGCAATGATTGATAAAGTTTCGTTTATGTTGCAAAGGCTCAATTCAAAGTAGCATAGATATAAGTTATTAAAGAATATGCACTAGAAATCATATAAAACACGTAAGCGGCTTTTTAAAACGTAAAACTATGCAGAATAGTCCGTCTTCAAATGAAACCAATGTTAGAAATAGGTGGGTTCGAGGGGCTGAGCGGCCTAGCATACTTCATATGTATAGGTTGTTCTAAACTAAAGACCCACCACAATACAAAACAAAAATAGCAAAATAAAAATAATGTGTGCATTTTGTTTGTTTTTTTTTTGGTATCGTTGTGTTGCTGTCTCATTGACGTTTACACCAAAGAGCCTTTGAACAACCTTGTCATTTATTAATGGCTTCTTTCACTTTGTAGCTATAACAGTTAAAGTCAGTTTAAGTATTTTTTTTTGTAATATCGACTTTTGTCAACACTATATATAAATAAGATGAGGTATGAGTGCCAATGAGACAACTATCCATCCAAGTCACAATGAGTAAAAGGTAAACAATTATAGGTCAAAATACGGCCTTCAACACGGAGCCTTGGCTCACACCGAACAGCAAGCTATAAAGGGCCCGAAAAAAATAAGTTTGTTTAATTGTGTGTTATGTTTTGTAGGTTTAGTCCCTGGTGATGGTCCAGATAGAGGAGGCGACATGATGAGACAGGATGGATACTGTAGTCAGCAACCTCCGCGACAAAAAAGAGTCCGAACTTCATTTAAACATCACCAATTACGAACTATGAAATCCTACTTTAACCTGAACCACAATCCTGATGCTAAAGACTTGAAACAACTTTCTCAAAAGACTGGATTATCTAAACGTGTATTACAGGTAATGATTGTATGGCAATTTTCACTACATCTAACACACTAAGTAAACATATATATTTAGTATATATGAAGACACGTTTTCATTATGGGGTACGAACAATGAAATTACCCATAGTCCTTTAGATTATATACAGCCGCGAATCAGATACTGATTCCGAAAGTAGCCGAAAACATAACATTATATTTATACACCTAAGTCTGGTCGAGATGTCAGTCAGCTTATTCAATAAATTCAGGTTAAATGCATTCATTTCTATATAGATATAGGAAGATGTGGTATGAGTGCCAATGAGACAACTCTCCATCCAAGTTACAATTTATAAAAGTAAACCATTATAGGTCAAGGTACGGCCTTCAACACGGAGCATTGGCTCACACCGAACAGCAAGCTATAAAGGATATGGTTTTAACCTGATATCATTTAAAAAATACCATAAATAAACAAAATATTGAACAGTACAACAAACACGACTGGTAACACTCGACTCCTCCAAGACCATAAACATACTCACAAAGATGAACAAGAATGAATATGCCACACTGCATGATGGTCACGATATATAGTTGGACTAAGTACATCCAGTGCAAAAAATATGAACGGGTTTAGCCAGTTTTACATGCGCACAAACCTCGTGGTCCCCTGATGTTTATTTTAACCTGTATTCAACTCGTTGACAACTGGGTCCAGGTCTTATTAGCCATCCTCTTTTACCATATGAATTCCTTAAGATTTGTGTTTGTCCTCTGTTTCTTATTCTGAACGTCACTTCTGTTACAATCCAACATATATATGTCAGTAACAGTGAAAATATCCCGACAAGCTAACAAACGGAATTGTAACATATCACCTGTCAGATTCTATAAGGCATATAAGGCATACCGTGTTAAAATTTTTAAAATATGACCGTATAATTCAATAAATATTACTTATATTTTCAGGTATGGTTTCAAAATGCTCGAGCTAAACACCGACGAAATCAAATGAAATCAGATGGAGATAAACCAGAAAAGACAGACGATCAATCGGAGTCGGGAACTATGGACGACGACAAAATAAAAGACTCACTTTCAATGTCGGAAATTACTGACAGTCAATCACCAATGATGTCGGATATCAGTTCTTCACCTTCTTTGTCGGAATTACAAAGCGTTCATGTTGAATCCGACCACTCTACAAGCAGTTTATCAGACTTATTTACAAATTCAATTAACTCTATCAATTGATATCCGTCATGACAATATTTCTGTGAATTTGTGTTTTTAGTGCTATTTTTACCTCTGTTTAAATGTTTTATTTTTATCTGTTATGTAACATGTTTAATTCATGATATCAAGATCCATATTTCATTTATCCAATACTAAAAATGGAGAAAGGTACACTTATTTAACTTGCAGTAGATATTTTTTTGTGAATGGTTCTTACTTTTTCCATTTTCTTTTTCTTATTTTTTTATGAATGTTTTAAACATTGTTGGAAGTTTAGTGTGAATGACATCTCATTCAAGAAACTAATTAGGTTAACAATAGTAGGAGGACCATTACTTTCTTTTGCACCTCGTTTTCGTCAAAGAACATTTTAGAGGGAAAATGTCAGAGTTTAAGCGCCATAGTAAAACCCATTTACGCGCCATTTTTTTACCCTGTTTTATTGAAAAGTAGAATTAGCAATGCCAATTTTAGCCACAAATTAATCCATATTTTCCTTCATTTCAACATGAAATAGTATATTAATAATAAATATTTGTCTATCACCACAATGTAAACTGTCATGTCCAGTAAAATGCACTACACTGAAAGAATTTACATCTCGAATTTTAGTTCTTTTTGTGAACTCAACTGTTGCAAGTTCTCATTTAGTCTAGCCTGGAAAAAAGACTACAATACTATGGAACAGATTACTTAAAGTATCGAACGATTTATCCATGAAAATATTTCTGTGCACGTTATAATATTTACTGAACATGTCCGTGCTAATTCCTGACTTTTCAATACTTTATCGATACCATACCTGTATTCGTCACATATTGCACTTTTCTTTCCGTGATTTGTTTCAAACATTCAGTGTTTCACCAAATCGCAAATGCAAACAACTTTAATATCAAACCATCACAAACAATTGTTCACGGTGTAAGTATGGGCTTTTCCGCTAAATTGAGCTATTGAAATGCAAGTGAACGGATAAATCTGGCGCTAAAATGGGAAAACATTTCCCGACTTTGTAGTTTTGAATTTTCTCTCAATGTCCTGCGCCCTTTGTTTTGGCAGTAAGTATCCAACAATTTGTAGTCCCAATTGACCACTTTTTAGTCAATTCCTATCATTTTACTAGTTACAAATGTTCCAGATGTCTGTCATACTCCCTTTTGTATTCTTATTATATATATATCGCGTAAAAATCGACAATGATAATGTTTGAATCCCACTCTTTTCAAGGTTGAATTCCATCACTTGTTTTAATCTGTTTTAACATGTAACGTTATACTTTATTCAAGTAATAAGTTTGTGAACACACCTTTTTATGAAACTATAATATATTTTGACTATAAATTTGCTGCAGTTATATTCTACCCAATAACCTAACCTAGGTCAAACTATACAAATCCTTGGTCAAACCTATCCAAACCCTTTTAGTTATACTAGGATAATGGAGAAAAACTATTTAACTTGCTAAATGTGTGTAATCGTTACGTATGCTTTAAAGGCCTAATAAAAAATGTGTGTTTCTGCTTACTCTACATCTGCCCTTAAATTTTTTTTGTCCTTTTTGAACATACACTACTACATTCAGACTGCTCCCCTGTTTAAACCAGTCAAAAACTATAAAAAAAAAAATGCCTACCTACCTATCCTAATTTTTTTCCAGCATATTATCGGAAACACAAGTATTTTTTATTAGGTCTAGTTATAATTTAAATTATTTGTTTTGCAAAAAATAGGTATGACAATCATGAAACATATAGAATGAAGCGAGGATGATAGTGTATTTTTGTTTATATATCTATGTTCATTAGTCATCAGGACAATGGTACGTTTAAAATGAAATTAAGATGTATCGTATATTTTGTTGAATTTTATAAATAAATGAAAAAATCTTATTTTAACATCTTATACTCATTCAAGAATATTAAGAAATAACCACTTACAGATTTAGTATATCGAAGTTTTGAATTTTTCGAAATACGAAGGATTTTCTACCCCATGAATAGATTACCTTAGCTGTATTTGGCAAAACATTTCGGATTTTTGGTCCTCAATGCTTTTCAACTTCGTTTTTTATTTGGCCTTTTTAATTTTTTTTAATTAGAGCGTCACTGGTGAGTCTTTTGTAGTCGAAACGCGCGTCTGGCGTACACAATTTTAATTCTGTTATCTATATGATGAGTTTATATAAATATTTTATTGTATTCATACGTTCCAATGGTTAAACTTAAATCTTGAAAGCTCTCAACCAAAGTTACATTGACATTATAAAAATATGGAGATGTGGTAGATTGCCAATGATACAACTACCCACTTTTTACCAAAGAACAACAATGTTATCAACTATAGGACAACGTATGACCTTCAACAATTAAGAAGCATGACCCATACCGTATAGCAAAAAAAGGCGGAAAATACCAATGGGACATCTTAAATCACAAATCGAGTAAGTTATAAAAGGTCCTAGAATGAAAAAATGTGGAACAATTCACACGAGAAAACTAAAGGCCTGATTCATGCTAAAACAACAAATAAACAACAATTGTTGCAGACAGCAACCAACGAAACCACTGAATTACAGACTCCCGACTTGGGTCAAACAAATAAAGAATGTGACAGGGTTGATTATAGAGGCTACAGGACAGATGGAAGGACGAACGGACGCACAGACCGAAAAACATAATGTCCCTCTACTATCGTAGGTGGGGCACAAAAAGATACAAAGGGCAAACAGTATTGGAGGAATATGACCACGTCGGATAGAAACTGAAACATCGACTACGACCCATAAAAAAACGGCAAATAGTTCCTGTTGCATATACAGCAGTCGTAGTGTTATCAATGTTAAAATACAGATATGAGTTTCACTGTCCATTCCTATAGATGTAGATAAAAGTGTAAAGCAGAAATAGCTGTATGTCTTATCCTTTTTTTAATTTTAATTTTTTCCAACTAAGACCTGTATATATCACTATCAAAGTTTTCCATCAAAAAATTTTAACAAGAAAACTTGGTCTAAGTCATTTGTTGTCACTATCATTGTTTTTCATCAAAAACTTGGTCAGAGAAAAGGAGAGACCCAGTGTTAAAAATGAGAAAAATGGTCCCAATAAACTTCTCACTGAATGACAGCATTGCACTTTTAGGGTGTATTCTTTTTTTTACCATTTTAAGAAGGTGCATTTTTTCCAACTAAGACCTGTTTATATCACTATCAAAGTTTTCCATCAAAAACTTTTAACAAGAAAACTTGGTCTAAGTCATTTGTTGTCACTATCATTGTTTTTCATCAAAAACTTGGTCAGAGAAAAGGAGAGATCCAGTGTTTAAATGAGAAAAATGACCCCAATAAACGTCTCACTGAATGACAGCATTGCACTTTTACTGTGTATTCTTTATTTTACCATTTTAAGAAAGTGAATAAGTACTGGTACAAGAGTGACTTAAAAGGGGACAATAAACAGGCTGCTAAGAAGAAGTAAAGACATACCTTCAACACTCCTTTTTTTTCATATTACCGACTTTTGACTCCGGAATTTACATTTTTTCGACAGGTTGCCTACTCTGTGGTAGGACATCCTGGTACTCGGTCAAGTAAGAGCAACGTAAAGAAGTAAAATCAAGCTTTCAATCGGTACAATTTTTGGGAGAAATTAACTGTTTTATATTTCTATACACGACAAAATCATCGGAAAACAATAAACTTTCCCTAATTGCACCGATTATATATTTGATTTAATTTTTTTTGTTGCTCCAAATTGACCGAGTACAAGGATGTCCTACCACAGAGTAGGTAACTGGCATATCGAAAAATTATATAATCCGGAGTCAAAAGACGGTACTGTGAAAATAGTCTATTCACAATGAGGACCCCGCTGTCAAATTCAGGAATTGTTTAAGAATTGACAAAACGACATTAAGTTCTTCGTAAAGTTAAATCTCTGATCGAAATGAACTCAATAAATCGTCTTTTGTTTCATTTTCTAACTGTGAACAGCTGATGATTTTCTTTTTCCCGGCCAATTTTTGCCATGTGCTTTTGTTTTGTAAACAAAAAATACATCATTCCTAAACCATATTTATGATGGCTATTCCGGGATCCCTGTCAAAGTCCATCCAAGTGTCAAGAAAACTAGGATGATATTCTATTCCATCAAAGCCAGTCAAAACTTTGATCAAAATTTGATGGGTTGTCACTATAAAACATCCTTTAAAAACTTGACCAAAAAAGCTTTAATAGTGACAACGGTCCTTTACAAAACGAGAATCACAACTCTGCATTTTGTAATATATAACTAGACGGATATAAGGTGATGTGAGTCAAATTTCTATGAAACTGTGGCAACCCAACAACACATAGTCATACCAATAAAACATCCAGAAGCCAATGAAAGAGAAGTGTCTACACAAGATTATCAAGCTCTTAATTGACCCAGGGGCCTGTTTATCGAAGCAGTCTTAGGATTAGGACGTGTCCTAAGACCAACTTAGGACATATCTTAATCCTAAGTGGGTTTATCAAAAATGTCGTAACTTAGGAAAATCCTAGGAATTGTCCTAACTTTAGGATACCAATTTAGGTGTCTTAAGATGGTCTTAGGATGGTCCTAACTTTAGGATATATTAAGGATGGTTGTTTTATAAACAAATATGGCCTGTATTGGTTGCATTTACTTTAGGGAACTACCATTTGATTTTTATGACCGGGGGGGGGCCTAGGATGTAGGATGCAAAATGTTCTTCTGCTTTTTTTTGTTGTTGTAAACTCTGTCCTTCCTTTTTATTTTTCACTCTATTATGTCCAGCCTTTTTATTATTAGTTTACCCTGACTTTTTTGTACATACATGTAAATTGTCATCCTGCTTTTTTTTTTGGCAAAATTCCTCGACCTGTCTTTATTTTATTAGTATTCTGACTTTTTTTTTTACATAAATTGTCATCTTGCTTTTTTTTGCAAAGTTGCTCATCCTGCCATTTTTTTTTACTCCAAACTCCTGTCCTGCCTTTTTTTCAAATTTAAACCTAGTCCCCCCCCCCCCCCCCCCCCCCATAAAAATCAAATGGTAGTTCCCTTAATGCATATTAAATCCCTATCCCTCTTTTCAGCACCATTTGTTGCAAAATTTGACAATTTATCAAAAAAGTGTTACTCTTGTCCACGTCGTCCAGGAGAGTCTGTAGTTTTGCATCGGTAGAATTCGAATTTCTTCTCTTATATTCACACGTATCATCGCATGTTATTTGCAGTAATAAAATAGTTGAATACTCAGTATTTATATGAAAGATGCACGAGATTTGCCTTTGAACTTTTAAGTATGAAACCGTGACACTTCGAATTCAGCTCACTCAAAGCATATAATGATTTTACCGATTATATATTTTATTTTAGCTATTTAGAATTCGTTTGTTTCAATTCTTATATAAAACGTAGTTATATTTTTTGTCTTATGTTTTGTTTTATGAGTTTAAACGTACAATTATAATATAAAAAGTATTTATCACCTTTAATTTAAAACTAATAATTATTTTCTAATTATTTATCTTTTTTTTTAAATTATAGTTATTGGTTAGATTTGATACAATATTTTCAATTTTTTCATTTTTAATTTGTCATTTTCTCTAACGCCAATACTTAGGACAGCGGTTAGGAATCCTAGCTAAGATAATCCTAAGATAGCTTCGATGTGCATGCTGAGACATGTCGTAAGTCGGTCCTAACTTTATCCTAATTTCTGTCCTAAGAACTTCTTAGGATCGATCTTAGGACAGTTTCGATAAACAGGCCCCAGGTCTATAAAAAATTGTGTGAATATATTTTGAAATAATACTTAACTCTCGAAATCACAAAAACATTTTTAGATACATGTATATACGTAATACAACCACCTTTGAAATTCATGACTTCGACAGACACAGGAATATGTTGCGGGTTAAATCTATTTTTTTTTTTATCTAAAACCCCCTTTTTATTTCGATCAGTGGAATAGCAATGAGTTAATACTAGAACGCACAATAAACAGCATTACAGAAAAAGAGCAGTTTTAGGATTAGGACGTGTCCTAAGACCAACTTAGGACATATCTTAGTCCTAAGTGGGTTTATCAAACATGTCGTAACTTAGGAAAATCCTAGGAATTGTCCTAACTTTAGGATACCAATTTAGGTGTCTTAAGTTGGTCTTAGGATGGTCCTAACTTTAGGATATATTTAGGACGGTTATTTTATAAACAATTATGGCCTGTATTGGTTGCATTTACTTTAGGGAACTACCATTTGATTTTTATGACGGGGTGGGGGCGGGTGGGGGTGTTGTGGGGGGGGGGAGGAGGGGCTTAGCTGAAAAATGTTGTTCTGCTTTTTTTGTTGTTGTAATCTCTGTCCTTCCTTTTTATTTTTCACTCTATTCGGTCCTGCCTTTTTTCATTAGTTTATCCTGACTTTTTTTTCATACGTGTAAATTGTCATCCTGCCTTTTTTTTTGTGGCAAATTTCCTCATCCTGCATTTTTTTTTACTCCCAAACTCCTGTCCTGCCTTTATTTTATTAGTTTATCCCGACTTTTTTTTACATAAATTGTCATCTTGCTTTTTTTTTGCAAAGTTGCTCATCCTGCCTTTTTTTACTCCAAACTCCTGTCCTGCCTTTTTTTCAAATTTCGTCCTAGTAACCCCCCCCCCCCCCCCCCCCCCCCCCCACCCCCCCGCCCCCCCCTCCCCTAAACATCAAATGGTAATTCCCTTGATGCATATTAAATCCCTATCCCTCTCTTCAGCACCATTTATTGCAACATTTGACAATTTACCAAAAAGCAAAGTGTTACTCTTGTCCACGTCGTCCAATAGAGTCTGTAGTTTTACATCGGTAGAATTCGAATTTCGTCTCTTATATTCACAC